ATGTGGCACTTAGTGCCACAGTCTAGTAACCACGGTAGGGTTGGACTCAGTGATCTTTGAGGTCTCTTCCAACCTGCTGATTTTATGATCCTATGACTAGAACCCTCACTGTATATGAATTTTTTGATGGCACCTAGGAACCTATTTAAAACTGTGCCTGTCAAGCTCATGGCTACCAGCTAAATGGAAGACTACGTGGTGGTAGTTTATTTTTCAATCAAAGTACTTTGGAGAAGACACTGTGTCTTCACACACATCTTAAGGAGGACATGCCTTGTCATAGTACAAATAGTAACCATTGAGAAGTAAACAATCATAAAACTTTCTATAACATTTAAAATTGTAAAACATGTTTTCTGATGTAAAACTGAAGTCAAAATGCAGTAATAATCCATCCAATATATTCCTCCTCTGAGATAACTGGACTTAATAACATAGCAAACCTGCAGCAGTGATACACTGTCATTCTATCTATGACTTTCACCTAACTTGGAGTCAGAGTTTGATTTATAAAACACTAGACTCTCGACTTACAGTCTCTTGGTAAACATCAACTTTTGCAGTCTTTAAAAATTTGACTTGTGTTCCAAGTCTAGACAAAAATTCACAAGAAATTGCATAATGCATTAGATGAATGTAACTTGCACTCATCTCTGTAACATACTGAAAAAGTCATGATTCAGTGCTATTTCTGGAGCTGTACCTTTTATTTAGAAAGTCATTATATCTCTGATTTTCGAACAGCTAGTTCAAACACAGTGGTTTATGCATAAAACAAAAAAACCCAACTTGGAAATAAATGTGCTTATCTAGCACAGATTAATGCAAATAAGAAGAGGTCCTTCTTGACTATTTATAAAGAAGTTTGCATTTAAGACTAATAAATTACCCTTCTCTCTACTTGGTTGTCAGAAAGTGTGTGAATGACGTTTGAAGAATAACATGCATGTACAAAAAGTGTGGGGAAGGAAGCTCTTGAGCAACTTTGAAGCTAACCTCTAGACAAAACATGTATATACCCTTAGTATACCGAAGGAATTATAGGAGTGGATGCTCAGGCAATGAACCAAGACAGCCTAGAAGGTTATGCTTCACTGAATTGGAAATAGAAATTTAAATGCATTTAACTTATTGGGACTGTAATATCCATCTATCTATTAAAATGGTCCTTTGTAGGATTAACTTCAGAGATATATAACAATCTACTGTTATAACCTATATTATCTGGAAGAGTTATTCTAAGGCTCCACTGCTGCAAGGCTCCACACTGTGCAGGTGTAACCTCCTCCACCAAGACTGTTCTGCATAGCCAAAGGTTGAGAAAAAGAATAGAAAAAAGTTTTGATACTTGGCTATGTTATTCCGATTGCAACCTCTGCTTTTGCAGCTTCACCATCTACCTTTGCCTTGAAGGAGTAATTAGCAAACAGTGCAAACCCCAGGGCTTCTCTTAATGTCATCTGCCTGCTCTGCACTGAGGAGGGAAGGGATCAGGCTCCTTTTTGGCATCATTTATTGTGCACTGCACTTACTGCGCATTTACATTCAGAAGTGACAGCTGGGCCTATGCTGGGACAGCTTGGGCCCACAAGTCCCATGGAGGTTCCCAACATAATCCACATATACATGCATTTTTCATAGGCTAGCAACCCCAAATAATCATAATTCACAACTTCAACCTTTTTCACCTTCTTCTAGTATCTAACAGAAGCATTACTACTGTCAAAAATACAATGATACTATCTGTTTCACCACCAAGTTGAGAAGATGTAACAATCAATACAAGAAAAGCATTTGCAATTGGTTTTGTTATTTTTTTAAGAATGCACGGCAGCGATTTCTTAAACCAAAACATATTCAGTAAAATGTGCATTCAAACCATCCTCATGCATCCTCACATAATTTTCACTGATAAGAGTTTTTGTCTCTGACCTAGAAGAGGTTGGGTGTTGTGGATAACTGAGTGGTAATCAACCGAGCTCTAAAAACTGCACACATACAATTTAAACTTTCAGAAACAACATACCCACTTAGTACTGTAGCCATATAAAGACCCAATTTACGAAAGATTTCCCAGTCCTCAACTTCTATTATCTTCCCAGCAATTAAAAATACGATACCAAACGGCATATACCTAGAAAGCAAAAATAAAGCAATTAAAAATCCATTCTCAGAAATACTGCCTGCTCACCAAGGAACAATTTCTCTCCCATTATAATTTTTTAACTCCGATGGAAAATATATTTTGATATTCTGTTACACAACTGAAGACTTTTTTTCTTTGAGTCTATTACACAACTGACTCTATTTACTTGCAGCAAGACTACAAGAAAGGTGAGAAAAAAGACTAGAAAATCAGAGCAAATTTAATTCTACACATAGTCTAACAAGTATTCTATAAGCTAGCGTCACAGAATACACAGAAGCTGAGACGAGCTGTGGGCTTAACCCTCTTGCAGCGAATGTTTGTGCACAGCCATAAGCTTACTTGGAGGTGAAAATTTGCAGGGCTGAGACCAGTATCTGTGTATTGTGCAATCACACAGAGATGGGATAGGTCTCCTGTACTTACAGGAGCTGCCCTGCAGCACTGGGGGCTGTATCTGTGTCACCTGCACAGAGTAAGAGGGACGAGGTATTACAGCAATCAGTGTGTTGCTTGATGGAGGGATCCCCATCCGCCAGTAAACTTACACAAGGCCATGCATTACAGATGTGAATAGCTGCATAGGCTACTGCCTACAGAAAATTCAAGGCAAAAATCAGGAATTACATTAGCACCAGCTCCACTGCATTCCTTTTGATGTCAGAGAGCAGGCTGTCACAGAGACAAGTTACTACTTCAGAGCTTTGAGTAGTATAAATTAGTTTATAAATATGTGAATATATAAAATGCATCCATTTTAAGACAGAAATCATAAATTTATAAAATGTGTGTGTGTTATCTCACAAACAAAACTATACCTTGTCTCTGTAGAAAGCAGAGACACCTAGTTTCTCTAAGGCCTGAACTTGCTGAAAGCAGAACTAGTTCCTCACACTTCAGCATCAAACTCTATCTTCCTTCGAACAACACCTCCCACAACCATAGGAACACAGGAAGCCTGTAGGCACAGCTTCAGGCACATGCACGAAAATGAAGAGTCAGTTTATGAGTAGGATCCTGTATGGCATGTGCTAACTCTCAGGTCTTGTTATTGGTAATTTTCTGCAGAGTGAGGCAGCCTATTTCATGGTGCTTTAACTCAGCTGGGCACCGAACAAGCTGTCTAGCACATGACCAGCTGCAGAAATTAATTTACCTTTAAAGGCAGCAAGAAGTGTGCAACTAAACCCTGGTTTCCTGTTTTACAGGTATCTCAGTGTGCTGGGATTAAGAAATATCTATGAAATGGCCAGATCTGATAAGCTACTGTTTGTGTGCAACATGTGGATATGAACAGAGTACTGCAGTAAACAGCACAAGGCACTCCACATGTAGGATCAAACTCTGGATGGGATTTTGTGTGCAAATAGTCCTGATCCTGTAACTGTCATCTGCATGGACAAAAGCTCTGTGAATAGCTCTGAAGTGCAACTTGCTACATTTTAAAATAACTTTTTCCTATTGCTTTTTCCTGTCTGAGAACATTGACTCACAAAACTTTAGCAAGAAGCAAATGATGCTAAGTTGTATTCTGCATACCATTTTGGATTTTGCCCTGTACTGTGACATGTATATTAATTCATATTTCTAAAGAAACTTAGTTCCAAGGACAACTGTCCCATGAACATAATGTGTGTCAGGGAATACCATTCAAGACTGAGAGGGCATATGGGTGGTAATGTGTCTACAGTCCTCTGGTTTTATATAAAACTCTAGCAAGGATGTCTGGAAGACCGAGGTTTCTTGTACACCAATAGAACTGTTTATTTAGTATATAGTAAGTGGAAGCCCTGTATCCAGCTTCCTCAAAAGATTAAAATTCTGTAGAAAGGAAACTTTTACCAAACTTTCTTTGAAAGTTGCTTGCTGTACAGCACTGTACAAAAGCAGACATGAAGTCTAAGTTTGCTCCTATCTCTTCAATGACAAAACCCACTTAAAGAAGTTGTTAGGAAATGCAGTATATTCTTGGACTTACCACATAACTATCTGAACTATTCTCATTGTAGCTTCATTCAGTGCATTGAAGAAATCCACCAGCACTTGTCCTTTCTCTCCCATTTTCCCAATAACGATTCCAAAAACAAGACAAAAGACGATCAACCCCAGCACATTAATGCCGTTGGAATACATGCCCACAATTTTGTATTCTTGGGTTTTGTTCTATAGAGTAGAATCAAGAGAAAAAATTACTATCTGAACCTGTGAATTTACTTTAAAGAGTTCTAAAATAAAAGCATATTCAAATTTTCTTTGAGAAGACATGGAACTCTTTCCAAGTTACTCTATTCCCTTTCTGGAAGTGCCAAATCGGCAAGTTCAGGAATGAAGTTAGAACTAAACTATCCTCAAATGCTTTGGATTTTTAACCTATGCAAGGATCTGACCAAATCTCAGCAGGGAGTAAAGGACCTGTTAATTTATGCTGCCCTTTCTATAGACTTCTGGCATGAAATATAGCAAGATCTAGGTATAGATGGTCATGCCTTCAGTATACTCAAGGTTTACTCCCCACTGTGGAGAACCAAACACAGCTGATACAGAATCCTTGGGGTTATTTCTGAGCGACTTAAGAGTTTGTGTCTGGATTTAAGACAAATTGATCACTGCATAACAACTGAGACAATGGTGCGCAGTTTGCCCCTAGTTTAAAATCTATTGTTCAGCTGAAATCAGTGAAATGGCATAACCTATAGCAGAACTGAATGCACATAACATAAAAAATCTACTAAATAGGTAGGTACTCATGCATTCCTTTGTGTTTGTGCAGTATGAACATATGAAGGAAAGGGTTCAATTCTTTGCTGCATCCTGCTTCAGGATTTAATTCATGTCTTTTCATACAGCTCATGTTCCCATGCTACCATTACTATGAGATGAAATTTGGAAAGAGTATTGTAAAACATATATTGATTTGATACTGTTTGTAGTTTTGTGTTCACATTTTATTGAATTCCTTTCTCCCTCTCCTCCAATGTAAGTCTAGGCTTTATAATCCATCAACACCCATAAGCTTTCCACTCCTCTAATCAGAAGCTTGTCAAACCTCTTCTTCACCTTAGTCTCTTTACTTATTTTTTTTGCAGACTAACAAACTATTAATTAACAAATGCCTTATATTGTTTTGCTTTCATTAAAAAAGATTATGATTTTGCACTCCTTTCTTTCTGCAGTCCTTACAGTTATCTCATTGCTGCTCAGACAACTTGTGCTGATATACACCTAGTCTTTCCACACTGACTGTCTACTTTCTCAGCAAATTGACAATTCATCTATTATCTTTGGACTGCTTAATTACCCATGGACTACTCTGATGTTCTTAAACCTACTGGAAGATACTTGCAATGACCTCTAGCATTTACTTATTAAGATTTGTGCTCTGCTAAAATTCATCTATGTGCCATTTCCTTCCTTTTCTCCATCACTAATCACATGAACTAAACCAAATTTATTCCATGTTCTTTCTCCCTGCTTTATGTTAAATTAGAAGGAATACAACAATAAAGGTCGCACCTCTGAAGCCTCTGCTGCTGTAGCAGTTGTAGCAGGTTCTTCTGGAAATATGGAGCTATTTTTATCCACAGGAGTTTGAACTTCAACTTTTTCACGCTTGGTTTTATACTGGAAAGATTTGTTTAAAAAACAGAAGAATTTATTTAGGAACATGAGGAAACTGAAAAATGTAAAAATAAGAGGAAAATGAACCAGACTGAACTGAGTGTAGTAAACATAGATAAAGACAATTTCCTAATTCACATGAGCCATTAGGATTCTTAACCTCTGAAGCTGAAGATCAAACAAGTGCTTCATGCATGATATGCTACGAATTATGCTCCCCAGGCTCTCAGATACCCTGTGGACCTGTTGCAGTCTTGCAGGGCATGAGATAGAACTCCTGACAATGGCAAGCAGACTTTCTGCTGGGACAAACAGTCTGGAGAGAATTGCTGACAGCCACCCCAAGGAGATATCTGTAGAGCAGATGCAGCTGATACAACCAGCCGGGGTAATGTGGTCAGCGTAACTAATGCCATTATGTAAGGCAAACAGTCATTCTTTGTGGCCAAAGAGGTCATGTAATCATTCCCTTTCCCCTCATTATCAGGTCCTGAAGGTCCTGCGCACCAAGCAGACACCAAACAGATTTATTCTTCCTCTCCCTACCAGCCTTCAGATTCCTGTGCACCAGGCTGACTACTCCTCTCCTTACTGGCCTTAAAGGTTCCAGGCACCCAGCCAGACAAGTAGTGGTGATGACCCAGTCACAGAACAGGGAAGCACAACAGCACCAGGAGCACTGTCCATAAAACTGAGCAGGTACAAGTCCTAAGGGGTAACTTGTCCAGATTTACTGCTGGACAGTGAGACCTGGTGGGTCAGAGATGCCTCCACCACTATCTGCTTACTCTGAGGACTTGGGGACCAACCTGTATTTTTGTATACATTTTGAAGTCTAGATTATGGTTCTTATGTTGATATAGCAAACTAAGTAAATAAGATTTGACCAAATCTACAGAGGGTCCATGCAATTAGAAAACATAAACTAAGTGCTGTACAGACCAATTGTACTACACTGATTCTGCTCTTAGAAATCCTGCACTATTCTGATTATAAATTCTGTGCTATACTAATCATAATATCCTGTTCAGAAAATAAAACTTTTAGAGTAACTATGATTTAGAGCCACCATCATTCTGCCAAAGATCCCTAGAACCCATCTGTCTCCTTAGTATTGGGTGACAGTAACTAACACATGAGAAAAACTACCTGCAGAAGTTTCATGAAGTGGAAACACATTACATTGTTCCCAGTATCACAGCTGATAGCACTTCACAGGAATAGTTAACTACCTCACATACAAACCTCAGATAAACTGGGGAAGACAAAAGAGGAGCAGAGAGCAACACAGAAAAAACAGTTAATGTATTTACAGATAAAGATGACTGAATCTGAAGTAAATCTGATATATGGACAGCAGTTTCCTCTTTCATCTTGCAACTCTCTGTTTTCGTGAGAGACTCTATGAGTGAGCTGCCTTTTCCTTAAAATGGATTATGTGGTCTGGCAATGGACACTAGCTGTGAGACATATCAGAGTGAGAGCTAAGTTACACAGACTTCATCAGACACTGAGGGACCTTAAGAACAAGGAAACAGATCCTCATGACATGGTTCTTCTAATTCTTTTTGCCCAACAGGAAAAATTCTGTCTTATACAATGCTTGGTTTCTGCACCCAGCTCCTAAACAGTGTCTCTTTGCAATGGACTACGAAGGACTTAACAGATGGGAACAGAGTGGGTATCATAATGGAAATGAAAACAAGATGCCTTAAACTTCCAGCTTTTTATAGGAAATTAAGATATTCGTGAAATTCTCAGAAATAAGTCTTATCTGACATAGTTTCTTTGGGACATAAAATAAGAGTAATTTGTAGTAAACAATGAAAATTACAGAAGTGGAATGTTCAAACTCACCTGTTGAAAACAGGCCTGAACAAGGTTTTCTGGGAACATATTCCTGTTAAAAAACATTAAGGCACTTCAATATTTTAGCATACTAAGACAAGGCTGTTAATATAAGCAAAATGAAGAAATTTGTTTCTTAAAAACCAGATTACATTGCATTTCTTTCAGCAGAAAGCAGTATATTTAACATCAGCAGATACAGAGTCCAAAGAAATTAAGGGTTTAAGTGTCCCAATGATCAGCTGACTGTTTTTCTACTGTTGAATTTTCAGGCTTATTTTTCAGAATTTGACATTTCTATTGATAAGCTACTAAACCCAGTGATTTCCTTCCCCACTGCATCATCTCCATCACTTGCCTGGGAAATACAGGACACACCATTTTAATAGGATTTATCAAATATATTCAGAAAATAAAAATTAATACACTATTACAAAGGCTGAGGTGGAATAATCAGATATTTGGTGTGCTCTATTGTAGTTTTGAATCCAGAAATTAATCTTGCCTGATGGAAGATTCCTATATGCTACCCTAGTGTCAAGAACCATTTTCACACATGAAAAAATTAGGAAATTCAGTGCAACCCAGTTGTTTGTCTCCTTTCCAACTGCCAATTTCAGATTCAAACAACTGCAAAAAAAGCATTAATTAGGTATTTAGTGAATATGCAGTCCAGTGCAGAAAAAGGTAGTTTATATACTGAAGTAGAAGTTATTATCTTTCAGATCTTTTCATAAACTCCTGCCTTTAGTTTTCAAGTTTTGAAAGCAAAATCTATTAAAAAGCAAGAGCAGTTTGTACAAGCCTGTGTTTTTGCTTTACAAGACTGACTGGATTTGAATCTTAAACCTGATGAATATAAATATATAACAATTAATTCTAATTACTTTAAAAGAGAATTTCAGATCTCAAACTCCAAACTTAAGAGTTTTAAATTTGTTTGCAAGAAGTTAAGCTATAAACTATACCAAACCCCAGACTAGTCTGAGTTACAATTCACACAACTTTCTGATACAGGAAGACTCTTTGTGCATGGAAATACATAAACTCCGTGTGGAAATGTTCATGTGTAAGTTACTGGTAACAGACTGGCTGCATTAGGTTTCAGAATGTGGCTGATTGCACAGTTCCTCTCATCGGTTTCTGGGCAACTGATCATGAGGAATAAACTGAGCTATCCAAGGAGCTGTCATTCTGGTCATTCACAGGCAGGAGGGGACAGAGACTGGGAAGAGCTGTGGATTGTTGGGCACGGGGCTTTGGGGTTGAGGACTGAGGACTATCTCACTTACAAACCACAGAGAAATTGAGTTATTCTCAAAGAGGTCTGCCTTGATCCGTGTTAGGGCAGAGATGCCCCACATGACAGCAGACATTTGATATTATATAGGACAGTGACTTTTTCAAGGCAGATATATACATCCATGTATATATGCATATGTATATTTTACAAATGTCAAAGAACAGTCTACCTGGAATTGCATCTGCAATCGCCACTCATATTTCCTAAAATAAATCCCATTTTAGATATGTAGCAAGTGATTCTTAAATGACAGGGTAAGTAAAACTCTACTAAAAGAAAACAGTGGGCAGGAATGGTGACACAGATCAGAGACTAATTGCACAAAAATAAACCACAGAAGCATTTCCAAGGGAACTACCTAGCCACTATTGGAAATGGGAGCTCTTTTTTGTCATTTTTTCTTCTAAATCCTTAAACACATTGGCTCTGCAAACCTGATCAAGTCTTCTGCAGACTTTTCTAAGGGTTTCCTTCTTCTAACCACTTTTAATCATCATTTTCCAAGAGGCTGATGTGGAAAGACTCATTAGAAATTTGCCTTAGATACTGGTGATGCAGCAAACCTGTTGACTGTGGAACCCTTAGAAACCTTTGCATGCTGTATCTGTTACTCTGCATCCTGCCTTGAGGAGGGGAACCATGGGGCTGCAATTTCAGGTGGTTGCCTATGGTGGATGACACAGAAACTGCCATCCACCAAGCATTCAGTCTTTCATGGATATTTTCTTCAGAATTGATAAATCTTTCCTATCAGTTTCTGTGAAAGAAGAAATTTTTGTTGTAGTTTGTTTATTAACCCAAGCCTATGGTGTAAAGAGGATTTTTTTAAACAAACTACTTTGAATATATTTTAAAACATCTAACCTGTTGGAATACAAGTGATTCTCCCCTTATTCATCCAAGCAACATTAGAAAGCATTTTAATTGTATAACAGCTCACAACTTTATTTTTATTTGTTTGCACTCCCGCAAAAAGTGTACAGGAACTAAAAAAGAAAACCTCACCTGATCAGATCCAGCATGGCATCAACAGTACTGACTTCTGGGGTACTGCCCACTCTGTCAATCTCATTTACTGTTTGGGGCATTCCAGGTTTAATGGTCACGACTAAGACAATCCCTGCAGAAGGAGAAGTGTAACAAGAGCTCACAGTGCAAGTAGAGGCATTGGTGCATCCTGCCTTGGTGTATCCTGTGTAGCTAAATGCTTTGTGAGCTAAACTCACCAAACACTTTCCCTGGGTGCTCATGTGGGTATGTTCAGAAAAGAGAAGTCTGCAGGTAGTGTTCTTCAATGTGTGGGTTCCCCTTACAGGAGCTTGCCACTGCACTTGGGCACTCTATCTTCGTTTTTGTATGTGCAGTACTAAATCACTACCACCCACCGAAAAGGTAAATTACTTTAGCTGGGCTTCAGACGAATGTTCTGCAACTTCTGCACAGTGAATATCTTGAATTGCTATTTGCATTTTCCCTTATGTAGCTCTTCCTGTCACTAGCTTTCAGGTAAGAATACAAGTGCATTGTCCTGTGACCCTGAAGGCACAGGATGTTTTGGTAAAGTTAGTTAGTAATAAAGTTACATAAGAGAAGGGCTTCAGAAAAAGACGGAAATAAAAAAGTTGCGGGTTAAGAAATACCAGCTTTGACCTTGTAAACACTGAAATCAATGACAAATTTGTATTTTACTTTGATGGCTCAAAAATGCAATTATGTGAAATACTAGGCCTTTCTAAATGCATGTCTCTTTCCGCCTGCCCCAACCCCACACGTCCAAACAAACCTGAAGCAAATGAAACTACTCAGTGTTAAAGTAGGGAGAAAGCATTTAGATGCCCCTTCAAGGTTTTCTAATGACAGCAGTGAATAAAATCAGAACTGCATTTGTGTAGCTCTGCACTATGAAACAAGAACTGTCATAACATCATGGAACAACAAAGAGCAGCAGGGACCTCTGGAGATTGTCTGGTTTAACACCAGAGTAGGGACAATTCAAAGTTAGACACATATTAATGTTTGTCTTTATTAATTTTCCTCGCTATGTATTCTCAGAAATTTCCCAGATGTATATGAGATAGTTTTATTTTGTTTCTTATTTAAGAAGGCTGGCTGAAGATGCTTCTCTAAGCAAACATGGAACATTTCAAGGTTGCTTGCAGGGAATGAACTTTCTCTAAGAGGAGATGTGGGCTTCAGAGACGTAGAAGGAGAGCCTGGCAGTGACAGAGGGGACCAAAACCTTTAAGGAAGGAAATGAGATGACAAGGGAAACAGTAATTTCTGTCATTCTCTATGGTGTGACACATAATATATTTTTGCATCTGAGAACCAAGAACTATCTATCACTTTGCTATTGAGGAAATTCACTTCACAGTTAAGGTTGGCCTTGGATGTTTATTCAGCTTTCTCACTGCTGGTCACTATTTACTGCAGCTCCTGATCTTCCCTGACCTGAAATACACAGCAAAATTGCCTGTGGTTTCATATGGGACATGAACACAGCCCAACTGTGAACAGTGGGACTAACTTCTCTCCATCTGGCTACAAGTAGGTCAAGATGTTTGGTATGTTTTCCTGTCTCCTCTCCCCTTCCTGTCTTGAGAAATGAGTAATGTCAAGGTGCTGTACACTTGTAATTAGGCAATGCTGACAATTTTAAAAGTTACAGAATCACAGAGTACCTAGTATGACAGCAATGACCGTAGTGCAGAAATAATACACGACTGCTCGCAAGCCAATCTTGCCAGAAACACCAGAATCCAAAGCAGCAACACCTGCAAAAAATGGTCACAAAAATAAAACAGTAAAAAAATTTTATAAGAAAGATGCTATTTTTGTAGAGACAATTAATTACTGTCTCTTATTTCTATGTAGGAATTTTTTCTTTATTCAAGACAATTCTAGACACCTAATTGCCAGTTGCACCAATATATTTGCTTCTGTTTCTTTGCAAAAATCTGTTTTCCCTGGATTTTTCTAGAAAAAAGATAACTGAGGTTTCCTGATTCCCTGATGTTTATGATGAATTGAACTTTTTTGGTTTGTCAAAGTATGTTACAATCTATTTCCATAATCACTTAAATAATAGCTCCACCTTTGCCTTCATTAACAGGTTTATTTTTTTTCTCTTTTTCACTGAAGTTTTTCTGAAGTCTTGGTTCTTCATACTTCTCTGCCTCTATCTGTCATGGACAAGAACAGAAGGCAGTTTTTGTTAATGAAGGTGGGGAAAGTGCTGAGGCAGGTATTACACTGAGGTCAACTTAACTTCTGCCAACAATGTTGTATGAAACTTCTCATGAAATATTTTTAACTGTTTAAAAGATTTAGCTATATCTGTGCACATACCATTCAGTAACCAGGGCAAAATCACCACTGTGACTGTAAAACTCGACTGTTTATAAGAACACTAGTTAATAATTAATTGCTATCTCTTTATTCTATATTCGTGATCCACTTATATTTTTGTTTATTGAGTCAGTTTATCGAAGACTGCCTAGATGCCCCTGTACAGGAATGCAAAAATACCATAAGGATATTTAATCTCAGAGAAGCATGATTTTGTAGGGGAAAAAAAGAGCCTCAAAAGCTAAGGGAAAAAGAAGTCAAGAGATCTGACACAAATATAACTTGCTGATCTTTGAGCTCAAAAAGGATCTTAGCAAGCATACTTTAACCACGTGCGCATGTCTCTTTCAGCAGGTACATTAACAGCAGTGACAACTTGTGCCTAGAGCATTCATATAATGCCTTACTAGTTTTGTTAATTGTTATTCAAAATGCAAACAGAAGTGGGAGGAATAGGCATTGGAATAGGTAGCCCAGGGAGGTGGTGGAATCACCATCCCTGCAGGTGTTTAAGAGGTGTCTGGATCTGGTACTGAGTGATATGGTTTAGTGTTACAGCAGTAGTGCTAGATGGACAGTTGGGCTTGATGATCTTAAAAGTCTCTTCCAACCTTGCTGATTCTATGAAGGGAGAATTAAAGTTATTTTATTCCATCAACCACTTGATTATATTTGAGGTCTTCCATGGGATAGGACATCATCAGACTGAGTGCCGAACTACATATAAGTATGCTGAACTCTTGATGTAAAGATTGTCTCAGCAAATAAAGACAATCAAAGAACTATTCATATTGCAAAGGAATACAGATCAGTGCATAGAAAAAGCAAAACTATGGATATTACAGAAGGCTGTCAGCACTAAGGACATCGTTTGAGGCACAAACAACAGGATGGACACAGAATCTGGGCCATAATTTTTATTTCTTACCTTGGACCCTGTGAAAAAAAAAAACAGGTAGAAAGAAGCACTTTTGCACTGCTGTGGGCTCAGTGTGGAAATCATGGCAGTGAGAACTCTTGAGAATTAATAGTAATAAATAATACTTTCTGTGGACAGGAGAAGAGCTGGTTTCAAAGACTGTCAATGTTGAAACTTTTCCACCCAAGGTATTAACTTGGAAGACTTCACATCATGTTTTTAAAAGAGAACAAGCTGGTATTGCCACAGTTTCATATCTTTCGATGAAAAGTGCTTACAAATTAGAAATCCTGGAAATTTATTCTAAAACTTGTTGCCTTAAGATTTTTTTCTTCATTTTTTTCCCCGCCTGACAGTCTTGTTGACTCAGTCAAGAACCTAATAAGCTGGCAAGGTTATTTCCCTGGAGTACTCAGTTATAAAGATCCTACAGTTAATATGACAGGAAGTTTCTGTGACAGACATTCTTCTGGGTTCAAATCAAATCCCTTCGCAAACTGTTACAGTCACGGGAGTTACAGAGGTATAATTAAGGGAAAACTTTGTCCTTTTCTTAAACTAGATAATGATCCTGCTAGTGAGCAAGCTGTGCTAGGATACAGCTTGTGTTTCCACTGTTGTGTTGGTGCTAGTACAGAAAAGCACAGAAATCAGTCAGGCAGACATGACCGAACAGGTACAAGTGTGGTCTGAGGATGACAGGTGTGGGGTTTGGGGTTTTTGTAAGCTTCTGTACTCTGAAATAAAACTGCATTCAGAATGATGCCTCCATTTAGAGACTGAAGTAGCATTCACCACAAGTGCCACAGACATAGGTTTGCACTGGGTGCTTTATGCTGCTAAGCTCATTTTTTTTTATGTCAGCTTATTACACATAGGAAAATAGGATACATACAAATAGATTTCTCTCCAGATATGTCCCATCAACATTACTGAGCAATTGATAATGTAACTGACAGCAACTGGCCTTCTTTTCAAGCCAGCTGAAAACTAAGATTTCCCTTGAAATTACAACATGGCTTTACAAGCGTTTTGGACACAAGTTAATGGAAGATGCATTAAGCAAAGCATGCAACTAACATTAATTCCAGCTAACAAGAAAACCTATTTCTCAAACTAAGACGGCACACATGCTACTCAAAAAGGAAAGCCTGCAGTGCTGTAATTCAGGATAAGACCACAAAAGCAGTGTAATTAAGTTTGGTTATTTACTGTGAATGACCACTAAACCATTCTAACTGATTTATTTGTTCTTTTCTTCTGTCAGCCTATCCCCAAGTTTTAAATTGCTTAAACAAGTTTCAGCAGATTACTGTAAATGTAGTCTACTGTACAGAGTTTAAATAGCATGATGGATTCTCCTACAGCCCTGGGCATTTCAAAACTGCAGTATTTCAGACCAGTTCCTTGAATTTTCCTATGAGAGATGTTGTAATTCAGCTACAGCCACTGAAGCATGGAATGCAATTCTGTGGCTGCAATACAAAGAGGCTTAAAGGAGATGAGTACAAAAGACACTGACTGATGTTAAAACCTGTTAATCTATCTACCTCTACCATATTATTTTAGCAAACAGAGCAAAGGTTTTAATATCTAAAGTCAAATTTTGGAATCAATTGCCTTAGTCTTCTGCAATTCATCATCCATTTTTTCTATGTCTCCAACTTGAAGCTCTTAGTTCTTTCTCTCTTTTTGCTCAGTTTTCTCTATTTTTTCAACACATACACTTGTAAAAGAATAAAAAAGGAAACGATCAGTGAAATCAAGTCTCTTCCATCTTCTCTTTCTTGTACCAGGTCCTCAAAACCCTACCAAAGAGAAATACTGTACTGTATATGCAAATTGTTTTTGAAGAAAAGGATGGGAGCATGGAAAGCTAATGTCAATAATCTTGTTTGACAGAACATTCAAAGTCATCAAAGCATAAAAGGGATAAGGATGGTACAGGACCCCCCAGAGAAGAGACATATACTTTTGGGTATGATACACAGACATCCCATCTTAAATGGTCAGGGGGAAGAAAACCCCACAAATCCAGCTGTTATTGCAGTAACTTCTTTTTGTTCTGTTCATGATCTTTCCTTTTTTACTTGAACCTTTATGTCTTTATGGTATTACCATAACACCAACCAATTTAATTTTCTTTCATTTGTATAGCTGCTGGTTTTGCTCTATTACTAAAATATTCCCAGGACTTTCTTCTTTAAAAAATAACCAGAATGGAGGACAATATTGTGAAACTTGAAAAAAAATCACAAGTGGAAACATGGAATTATCACAATGGACCGGTTTAATCCTGTGTTGTGTTCAACTACTGATTTTGGCACATGGAATATGTCGTATTACCAAAGTTAAAGACATGTAGCTTCTCCAGCTTTAACTTTAGAACCCCATCTGGTTAAGTGCATCAAACCAAAAGTCCCTTTAAGACTTCATAGCACCATTAGTCATCTGCAACCCTTGAAGTACCTCTAAAATGTCTTTATCTTTTTTTGTTGCATATATTTAAAACTGCTTCACTGAAATACTACTGCATAAAGCTACTATACCTACGGGAATAGTCTGATTTAAACAAAACTGAGCCTAAATATAAAACGTGGTGTTCCAGAATTTTTTACCAGTAGACACTGAAGACAAAGTGTATTCACTTTGGAGGCCTGTACAAACACCCAGGTACAAATGGCCAAATGGCTTTGGCTGGAAGTGTAACATTGTAATTCCGGAGCTGTTCACCATGCTTCTGTGAGATCAATCCTGTGGTCCTGTGAGATCTGGGAGTGGAAATGGTTCCATTAAGGACTGGAAACAATCACAGCTATCTTCTGACTTCCAGTGCTTATTATTTTATTAGTTCCCTAGGAGATAACACCTACATCCTTAGAGTTTGTCATACCATTCTACTGAGTGGAATATGTGCAAATGTGCACACAGATTTATGCTTCCAGGTGCTCTTTTCCAATAATACATTATGAGAGGCTACATCTACAATTTGGTGCTGTGATTGACACTGTTCAGCAGCAACAATCGTACCTAGACAACTCGGTGCTTTTTTCTGCAGCTATACAAATTTCAGTGTCATCATCAAGTACATCTCCTGCAGCTGTTCGCAAAGCTTCTGAAAACTACTGCAAGGTGACAGGATCTGTTTCTTCCACCATCTCATCACTGCATGACACATTGATCATTACGTGTAATCAGTAAAACGTTAGGCTGTTTAACTCCTTTAGCCAACAGTGCTACACTTAATGATCACGATGTTAGTTTTCTCTGTACAAGGATCAATGCCACTTAGCCAGCTCTTAGTACTGTTGGCAGTCTGTTCTCCTTAAGCGTGACTCAGGGACAGAGGGAAGAGTCTGACTCAAGGGCCTTCCAAGTCCACACAACTGCCAGCCACATGGTGACATTATCAATTAGTTTTAGGAACTAACTGCATTTCTGAGGAGAAATAATTCAAGTATGGAGCACATCAGCTGTGTGCAATTCTCTCAGGGTTCTGATACCTAA